GGTTGAAAGACTCAACCCAGCCCGCCCCATTTGGCAGGCGGGGCGGGCCAGCCCGGCGGACTCAACCCATTTTGCCGGCCCTATACAGTGGTAGGCCTACAAGGCCTGTAGGCTATGTCGGACTTTCTTATTTTTAAAAATAGGCCGGACTTGACCTACAAATAAAGCCTTTGATAGGCCAATAAGCCAGATAGGCTAAATTTTTTTTTTTACGTAGGCTTGGGCCAAGAAGGCCAAAGCCCAGCCCAGCCCATTTACACCCCTATATATATATATATATATATATATATATATATATATATATATATATATCACTATATAAAATTCAATGAATACTTCCATATTTAAAAGATATAAGTCATATAACTATATAAGACATAAGTCCAAAGCACAAATAGAGAATATTGAATTTAAAAAATATGGAAAAAATGATTTTTTTTTTAAAACAAAATAAAAAAATTGAGTTTAAGTAAAAACTTGAGTTTCTATCGTTTTTATATTTCTTCGTAACATTTTTATCCGTTTTTACTTGACAATAATGATTATTTGTATTGTTATTCTCTTAATTCGCATATCAAATGGACCTAAATGCCCTTCTCAAGGCTTTTTTCTCATACTTTTCCCATATATTTTTTAGAGGAAGGTTATACTTATAATTTTTTTTTAAAACCTCTTACAATAATATCTTAACACCGTTGATTTTCGCCAATCAACAGTTATTATTTTCAAAAATTAAACTCATTAATTAATTATTAATTCACAATAAATGATAATCGTTGATTGACGAAAATCAACAGTATTAAAATATGGTTGTAAAAAAAAAAATTGTAAATATAATCTTCTTCTATTTTTTATTTAAATTCGTTTAATCCAATTCGATCACTGTAGGATCCATACTTGAAAGAGGTTGTCTCTATACAATTTTTTTATTTTCAACACTAAATAAGGAGAATAACACGTTGTTACTCTTGCTTATTCACATTCTTGTTTTTTTTTTTTTAGTAGACATTCACATTCTTGTTTCAATTGCAAAGGAATGCGTGTGGGCTTTCTTTTGGATGATCTAAAGCAGTTTGCGGTATACCTACAAATCTGGAACTCTTGTATAATTGTTCTGCAATCAGCGCACTTGATTGGAGCCATGTATTTGGACAGCGTTGTCGGTCCAATGACAGAAGTCAATATACGAGGGGGCACTTATTGGGCTTTGTTATGGCCCATCTCTCTGGATTTCATATGATTTCTTATTTTTTGCAACAGAACATTGAACAGGGTATTGACTATTGACAACTTGCATTAGACCCATTCATTAATTGACAAAGATACAATAAATATGCAGAAAAAAAAGGAAAAACTTAAAAAATCTTCCTGTAATTTTTTTTATAATCATTTACCTCCTCTTCAAAATTTTGAATTATTTATTCTCTGACTTAAAGTTTTTTATCATTTACTTTTTGAGGAGGTTAAGTGATAAATAAATTTTAAATCACGGGAGTAAGTGATAAAAAAATCTAAATAAAAGTGTAAATGATTCAAAAAATTTGTGAGGGGTTAAGTGATAATTAAGAAAATTTATAGGAGTTTTTTGAAATAAAAACTGTCGTATAACAATACAAAATAATTCTGGGAAATAATTTAGTTCTCTAATTTATTATTATTATTTTTATCATTTCGTCATGCAATGCTTCACTGGACTCCCCTAATAAGAATTTTTTAGCCACTAATTTAATTGTAAAGCTTTCCCCATATTCTAGCAGGTATAATACAAAAAAAAAAAATCGTTAACAATAAAATCGTTAACAATAAAATACTATGTATGGATTTTATGATTATTTGAAAAATTCTAGTATTTTTTTAATACAATAACATTTATTGACAATGAAAACAACGTTGAAAAAACTCATAAAAGAGATAAAAGATGGTGAATTTTTTCCTCAACATCGTTAAGCCCTAAAAACTATTTTATAAGTTACTTAATTCTGGGACTCACCCAAAATTGAACCAATCGTGAAACAATGAATCGATTGAAATATTAAAAAAAAAAACTAATTTATAAGTTACTTATCAATGTTTTTACTTTCACAACAAATATATTAAAGATATACACACAAAAATGGTTTTTTCAATAAAATAAGATTGTCAATTTTCTCATGTACTAGGAGAATTTTTTTTCATTTATAGACATATCTTGTGTGGGGCTTATATCTATTAAAAATATTGAACAAAAATCAAAAGATCAATGATAAGAAAAAATAATTCTCTAATAAGATGAGAAAATGTTTCCCATCAAATAATCTAATGAAAGCACCAAGTTCAGATAGATTAGGGATACCGGAGAGAGCCAACTCGTCTCAAAGAGATAATTAGGGTTGGGTAACTCAAAAAAAAAAAAGATAGATTTTTGTTACCTCCTAAAAAAAATGCGTTTCAACTTACAACTCCCTTTCATATCTAAAAAAAAGTACCATAGCTAAAATTATGGTCTCTTTCTCAATGCCGAATCATCCGCGCATAGTGAAGGATTTTAAAACTATTCCCCAAAAATAATTGTTTTAAAAATTAGACCTGACTGGATTAGCCGATTTAATCAGAAAATTAGTGAATTAATAAGTATTCTAATTTTATGATAAGAAAAGCTGTTTAAAGAAATGATTAAACCACTCCAAAACCAATGAACTGAAAATTGGTTTCTTGTATGGTGTTATTTTGAGATTTTTTTTTAAAGGGACAAGTTTTATTGTTTTGAGAGCAGGGTTATACTAACACATACTACACGTAATACATAATGTAATTTATAAAAATTTGAAAATAAAAGATTTATAAATATAACATATCTCTTATTTTGAATATTATATCACAAATTTATTTTCAAGTATATTTATTAATTTAATAAATATTATGTCTATTATTAAATTCAAGTAGTTAAAATCGAGTTTTTACCTAAAAAATTAAAGGGATAAAAAATTATAAAACGTAAAATTGTAATAAAAAATCATAAAAAAGTAAAAGCGCTTAGAATGTTGATAAAAATATTTTTAATAAAAAGAAAAAAATTGTAAAAACATAAAAGTGCAGTTTTAAAACGAGTTTTTAATTATCATGATTAAACTTGAATATGTTATATATTACTTCGATTGTAAATGTATATACTTTATTAATATGTTAATCTATTATTTAATATATTACATAAAATCAAAAATCACCGACTGTACAAATTAATGAAATATAAATAACTGTCTTTACAGGTTTAATAATCAATACAATTTTAAAATCACGATAAAAATTATAATAAAAATATCATTATATCAACATCAATTTTATAAGATTTGAATGAATAAGAGGTCCACTTAAAAATCTCCATAACCAAAAAGAATGTTAACAAATTAAAAAGGAAATCAATTCCTTCCATGTAAAAGTTTCTTCTTATGTTGCTCTTTTTTAGCAACAATTTAAGTATATATTTGAATTAATTTATTTATACTTTTAAAATATTTTTATGGATGAAATTATTATTTTAAGATACTGCAACTGCAATCTTACATTTTGTATAATATAAAATAAATAAAACATCTAAATCCAAATCAAAATATAAAAGGAAACAGATACATTAAATATTTTAATTGGGCCGCCCCACCTCTACTTGTTACGATCAAGGGTGGAACACATTAAAATCTGGGAGATAACCGTATCCATAAAGTTAAAAAAAATAAAATTATTCGAGTATTAAGTATGTATTTAATAAAAAAATATTCATATCAAAGATATATGTGATACAATCACAGCAGACTAATTTTACGCTTATTTTTTTTCCTTTGACATCACAATAGGTCAATAGTATTGTTCATTCTTTTGTACCTACTCCTAATTGATTTTTATTTAAACTAAATAATGATTTAGTTCTTAAGCGATTTAAATTAATATTATGTTAGTTATTTTTTATTTGTTATAGATGTAATTTAAATTGACTCAAGTAGGTTTTTAAATTTTTATCATAGAAAATGTTATATTTACAAATTACACTTGAATGAAGTCTGACCGGCTAGACATAGTGTAAATTTATAAATTTATATAAAAAAAGAATAAATACCTTTTAAGGTTCCTAACAAAAAAATAAGGTCTTCACTTTAGTCTTTTACAAAAAAAAATTAGTCTCGAGATCCATAAAAAATTTAAAATGGACCTATCTAGTTGAAATCGTAGCCCCTTATAAATTCAAAAAAGACCTATATTAATCTTTCAAAAAGACTAAAACAAGTGTACTTTGAATTTTACAGAAATCAGACCACCAATTTTTTATTATAAGAAACTGAAATCGGAGCGTATTTTGTCATGGATCCAAAAGTATTTACTCAAAAAAAAATTCAATATAACCCTTCTCTTTTATCGTATCCAAAACACTAATTTACTCATTATTTTTCTGTGGGAAAACTAGAACTAAATCAGGCATAAACTCTAAAGCCACGCATCTCTCTCTCTCTGTCTCTCTCTAATACATGATGGTGATACTGTTTCTCTCTAATACCCATATGGACATATCCATGTCCCTCATCAGTTCCACCTCTCCTTAGTGTTGACACATTGTCTTAAACAAAGCCACATGTGTTGCTGTTGGTTTTAGTGTTTCGTGGATTTTGCATCAGTTACCTTAATACCTTGCCTTGCCCCCCTCTTAGCATTTAGCATTGTCCCTTTTGTTTTTATTTCTTTCTTTCTTTCTTCCTTTATCACTAAAGTTGTCTCCTTTCTTGCATGCTTTAAACAAAGACTCTCATACACCACACTCAGCAACTAACCATTATTCTTACTCTTACAACTTGTTGACATGTCTATCCCTATCATTCTCTGAGTTTTATGGTGGTCACTGGTGAGTTTTGTTATTCATTCTATCATGATAATAATGAATCTTCTTTTGGTTCTTTTTTTTTTGTGTTTTTTTTTCTTCTCTTTACCTGTGAACTCTTGCAGTCTTTGCCCCCATCCAAATCGTGAGAGTGTTGTGATTCGATTAACTTGTTGTGGCTTGTGATGGGTCCTGTGAGAGGATTGAAAAAGAGAAGAAAGCCAGAGAAGAAGCATGACAAAAATGGTTCTTCTGCTTCTGGGTCACCCGACAAAGAAGGGTCTGAAGATTGGTGGGATGAGTTGTCAAATAGGATGAATGGTAGATTTCGTTTGACTTTCACTGTATTCAATTCCTTTGATGTTTGCTCTCTTCGTTTTATGTTTGGTATATTGCTTTTGCTGATGAATTCTGCTATGATGAATGCCTTGGTTTTCATCTCTATTTTACCAAATCTCAGTTTTGCTCCTTTTGTTATTTGAATTTTTTGTACACTGAATCAATCATACATGTGCATTTTGATAAATAAGCTAAGGATCCCTAATTTGACTTTCAAGTTGTTTGTCATTGTGATCGTGCTGCTATCTTACCAATCAAGGAATGTTTAATCACATTATATAATTGCATTATAATTAACTGTGAACAGGTTTGTGTATCTTATACTACATTATGGATGTATACTGAATTCCAAGGGAGAACGATACTTTCTTCTTGGTGCTGGAATTAGTGTAGTCAGTGTGCTGTAATTCCGGCTTTATATTTCTAGAGTTTTCTAACTTTCTAATGCTAATTAATTTTAATTTGATGTTTTAAAATAAATAAAAGAAAGCATATGTAACACATGTATCAGATATGTATGTATTCCATCTACCTTGTGACCAATTGAAAGAATGATGATCCCCATACAAGGTGCTTCAGAACTTTATTATAATTTGTTGTTATTTTTACTTCAAGATTTCATTAAAGCAAAAACAAAATTTACTGCTGGTGGCCGTGGAATGGGTAGCCTCTCCTCCCCCTAAACTTTTTCCAACCAAATAAAAAAGTTTATAATGATGTTAAGTAGTAGTGAATGCACAATATATTTTGTGCATTGCTTTATTGTCATTCTGCTTTCCATTCATTAGACTTCCAGCATATAGAGAAGGGAGCTGAATTTTGTTAGTTATGGTTTTGTACTGGTTCTATTAGCAAGTTAACCTAAGTTAATTTAATTGATATAATTGTTCAAAGTCACTGTTTTGGGTTTTAGCCTACACATTGAATTATTGTTGTTCAACTCAAGTGGTTAATTGCAGCCTTAAGTATGACAGTCAGGTACTTGCAATTGGCATGCATGGACTATTAGACTCACTGAGTGAAAGAAACTTAAGGAGAAAAAGGGGGGATGTGGTTATGCAGGAAGAACAACAGAACAGACTTTTTAAATCTTCGTAGTATCTTCTATAAGCTATCCTCTTAATGCTACTCATTTTTTATGTTATATTCTTTGCTTTTGGTTTATCTTTAAGGAATTGTATTGGGTCCTAGCCATTGTTTGGAAATAAAATAAGGAGGAAAAGAAAATGAAAGGATAGAAAGCAAGGGGATTCAAAATGAGGAAGTAGAAAATAATTTTCTCATCATTTACTGTAACTGAAGAAGAATTAACAGAGGAGAAAATGAGAAGGCGTACTCACTAGGTGTTGTTGTGCTTTATCTTTCTAGTTTTGAATCCGTGATTTGATTGGCTAGTTTCAAGGTGTTGTTGTGCTTGGTGTATAGTTTTTATTAAGTTGTATAGTGCTAAAAGCACTATTATGCAAGTTAGTGACGCTAAGCCGGGCTTTCAGTTGCTGGTTAATTTTGTATGCTTCTCTCTACAAAATGATTTTTTGGTGTTCTTCTGTTTATTCTATTTATACTTAGTTAAACAATCTTGTGGTTTGTAGAATTAGAATGTTAAAGGAGTGATGACCATCAAATTTTGTTGTGATGAGGTACACTGAGTAGGTAACTTGCTGTAGAATGAGATACAGTATTCCTCTCAAGCTTATATTTGCTCACACAATTTTACGTTGACTATTTTATGTTTATGATATTTTAGTATAATACTGTTCATCCTCTTTATAGTTTTGAAATGGTTCACCTTTGTGATGTATGATCATCATGCAGAATTCATTTTATTTTTTTAATATTCTAGACCACATTTATGAAACCCTTTGTAAGTAGAATTACTTGATATTTAGTTCAATTTCTGCTGCTTGATTATGTCACAGCCAGTAATCAATTGGCAAAGCTTACAATTTATTTTATACAATGGTAGGTGTTATTTTAGAAGAATCGGTAACTCAGATTTTGGTCAACACTGATTGATTGCTTAAAGATCATTGCAAAGTAATATCAAAGAACATTGAGAAATCTATCAAGTTTTGCAAGTAATTTGTTTTCTTCTTGAACTGAATGTGCCAAAAGGTTTAACGAAGTACATTTGGAAAGTAGCATCAACCCCCGTATATGATATTGTGACTTGTGTCTGTTTACAGTAATAAATAAGCAGCTTGGCGATTGTATAGGTTATAGCCAACATACGAGTCATGGTAAAATAATCTTTTAGGACTAGCTTTTGATTTGCCATAATTTCGAGGCAACTAGAAACATCCTTTAGCTACCTAATTTTTTACTAAAAAATGGGATGAGAATCAAACAAAAGAATGAGGAAAAAAGAGAGTAAATGCCATTTTATGTAGGTTGATTAGATTAAGCTATTTTTTAACATGCATTCGCAGATCTCATATAACTTTGGTGTTTTTTTGCTGTGTGAGCATTAGTGATGCCAATTTTCATGTTCTTTGTTTCAATACCCAGAACAGATATGTAGTGGGTACTATAAATTTTATAATGACATATATTTAGGCAGCAGAATTACTGCGTTCTAGAATAATGTTATTGCTAGGAACATGATTTGGATACAATTACATGTATAGAAGTCCAAGACCAGACAAGGTTTTTTCGCAGCTAGCCTCTAATCTGTAATCTAACTGGTGAATTTAATTGTAATGCATTTTTGAAGCTCAGGCATATTATTGTTAATATGCATGTTTTCGTGACCTATATTTTCTTCAGATTCATGTATAAATCTGTTATCCTGAATCCTTACTTATTTTTATGTTTATCTCGCCTGAATCAGTTTTATTGTAAGTACAGAAGTTATGTCTAAATTAATCTATTACTTGACCAGACAATAAACATACTACATCCTTCTCAATTAGTTAGTATGATAAATTTTGTAGCAGTTTGTATGGCCTCATACCTCACGAATTAAATCATAATGTGTAACATTTTCATTTGTTTTGATGTTTTTTTTGTTCCTGTTATGAAATGACTCTCACTGATTTCACAAATAAAATTTAAGGCTCGTGAATTTTCTCACTTAGCATTAGCTCCTTCCCCTGACTCTTTTCTATTTTAGATAGTGAAGGATAGTTGCCGTGCCTTGGCATTTTCAGTCCTGCATGACCTGAAAGATCATCCAAAACAACATCTGAAAGTAAAGTCTGCATGGTTAACATTTAGAAGTTATAACACATGTTGCTTGACAGGTCTTCAGCAGTCTGCATCGAAGTGTTTGGGTAGCTTCGAATCATTTTTCAAGATCTCCAGAAGGACGTTTGAGTACATATGTTCACTTGTCAAGGATGATATGATGACAAAATCTGCACATTTCGTGTTCACTAGTGGCAAGCCAATGTCTTTATTTGATCAAGTAGCTGTGGCACTGAGAAGACTGGGATCTGGTGACTCACTAGTCGCAATTGGTGATTCATTTGGGCTAAACCACTCAACTGTTTCACAAGTCACTTGGAGATTTGTGGAATCCATGGAAGAAAGGGGGCTTCATCACCTTCAATGGCCTTCAACAGAAGTGGAAATGAATGCAATCAAAACCAAATTTGAGAAAATACGAGGCCTCCCCAATTGCTGTGGTGTAATTGATGCTACTCACATCACAATGTGTTTACCTGCATCAGAACCTTCATGTAATGTGTGGCTTGATCATAAGAAAAATCATAGCATGGTCTTGCAAGCAATAGTGGATCCTAACATGAGGTTCAGGGACATAGTCACTGGCTGGCCAGGTAAAATGGAGGACTGGTTGATATTCGAGAGTTCAAACTTCAAAAAACTTTGTGACAAAGGGGAGAGATTGAATGGAAAGAGATTAGAGCTCTCTGAAGGATCAGAAATAAGGGAATATATAATTGGTGATTCAGGCTATCCTTTTCTACCTTACCTTGTTGTTCCTTTTGAAGGGAAAGCTCTCCCAGAATCAAAAGCACAGTTTAACAGGCTGCATTTGGCAACAAGGATGGTGGCACAAAGAGCACTGGCAAGGTTAAAGGAGATGTGGAAAATCATTCAAGGAATGATGTGGAGGCCTGACAAACACCGTCTTCCAAGGATTATTCTTGTTTGCTGCATACTTCACAACATTGTTATTGACATGCAAGATGAAATGCAGGATGAACTTTCTTTGTCTCATGATCATGACTCAGGTTACCAACAACTGATTTGTGGAGCTGTAGACGACAAGGGAGTGGCACTAAGAGAAAGTTTGTCTCTCTACTTGACTCGAAGGTTGCCTCCATGATTTTGTTTGTCCATTACTAGCTTTTGGTTGCTCAGTATATTATCTGGAATCATGAAAGTTTCTGGGAAAACATCTCGTATGATATAGTTGTCCCTCTCTTTGATTTCTAGACTGTAAATAATTTGGATGGTGCATGGCAGGGTGAACATTGCAGGTTTACCAAATTATGGTTGAAGATAAGGTTATTGGTAAACTCACATCAGCATTGAGCATAAATTTATCACTGGAATAAAGGGAGTTGATTATTACTCTGTTAGTTGAAAAATATTATGAACATTTCCTTGTAAAACCTTTTGTTTATGATAACAAGTAATTAAAATATGAAACTCTTTTAAAATGTGGCGACTCATGATCAAAATAATATAACAAAAAACTCATTGGATCATAATTAAACCCTTTATTGATGTAAGCTTTAAGTAAAATAATTAAAGTGACATATAATTTATTCTTATATAATAAAATAAAGTCCTTATTGTTAAGAGTAAAATAAGTTTCTCTTTTTCCTTAAGGTATGTAGCTTCACTATTGTTTAGAGTTTTAAATTCTTAAATTATTGGTTATTTCAAAAATTTCTTTTTAGTTAAAATTTCTTTCTTCTCAAATTTCAATTATTTATACTCTCAAAACAATTGCTTTTAAGATATCTATTTAAAAATTTCCTTTTATTTTTAAATATTAGATGTATGTGCTCTCCTAATTTTTTTTTTCTTTCAAAATTGTTTTCTTTCAAACCTCAGTTGTTCCATTGTTACATATTAAATTAAAATACATTATTTTAAATGTGATTTAATTTGTTAATTTATTATCCCTTGAAGAATGATACATATTATTCTTTATTTCACTTCTTTTAAATTTTACATTAAAATTATTGAGAATTGATTATGCATGTCTTATTTATAATTTCAAAGTTTTTCTCTTTTAATTTATATTTTAAATTTTACCTGAATTAATTATGCATACATCTCTTATAAATTACACATTTTTTCATCTAAATATATTTTTTCAATTTATTATTTTTAAATTCTATTTCAATTTAACCTGGTACTTTTCAAATATACTTTTTAATTCACCAAAAAAAAAAAAATTGGCCCAACAATTTACATTTTTAGTTAAGATATATATTTGCCATTTACCCAATTGTCAACAAAGTGGTCACAATTGCCTAAGGGTTTGTCAACAAGCTGCTTGAGATATATTTATCTCTGGTCATCCCAAAATTACGTCATTTTATTTATTTATTTTCTTATATTAATTAATTCACCTTTGAATGGTTATGATTCTATTTTTCTCTCTTTTCCTTTATCACCATTGATTCATTTTTGTACAGTTATGATTTAGTAGCCGGAGATAAAGTTATCTTAAGCAGTTTGAGAAATGATAAGTCCATATATATATATATATATATATGGGGTAGGATCATTTGACACCGGTGTCAAATTTGAAGTTTGACACCTCATCTGAGAGCCGTTAGATCAAAAAAGATTAATGGTGTCACATGCTTACAAATCAGAGTCGTTGATCTTTTTTTATCAAACGGCTATCAAATAAGGTGTCAAATTTCAAATTTGACATTGGTGTCAAAGGATCCTACCTCTATATATATATATATGGATTTACATTTCTGCAGCTGCTGTACGTGCAACAATCAAATACTTGTCATATATATATATATATATATATATATATATATATATATATATATATACGTGAAAGCATTAAATGCAGGGAATCATAACCATATAAAAGATAAAAGCATTAAATGTGAGAAATCATAATCATACACTTGCCGTTGTTGTACGTAAAGCGGTTGCAGAAATAATTTTACCATATATATATATATAGGGCAGGATATTATTACACCGGTGTAAGAGTTAGAAGTCTTACACTCAGTCTTGACCATTGATCCACTTGTATCCAATGGTTCACATTACTGAAAAATTTGAACCCTTAGATATAAGTGGATTAACGGACAAGATTAAGAGTGTAACTTACACTGGTGTAAAATGATCCTGACCCTATATATATGTATTTGTCAATAAAGGTGGACACAGTTGGCTAAGGGATTGGTCCATACTCCTCAAGGGCATGAATTTAGTGACTACACCTAAGCATTGGTACATAATCTCACTTAAACTTTTGTTTACCAATATATATATATATATATATATATATATATATATATATATATATATATATATATGAGGTAGGATCCTTTGACACCGGTGTCAAATTTGATTTTTGACACCTCATCTGAGAGCCTTTAGATCAAAAAATATCAACGGCTCTGATTTGTAAGCATGTGACACCATTGATCTTTTTTGATCTAATGGCTCTCAGATGAGGTGTCAAATTTCAAATTTGACACCGGTGTCAAAGGATCCTACCTCATATATATATATATATATATATGTGTGTGTGTGTGTGTGTGAGGAATGCTATATTTACAAGCCTTTTTATTTTTACAAACTCTTCCAAACTATATTATGTACTCCAAGGAATAGACTCCATTAAACCTAAAAAAAAAGAGAGGAATAGACTCCATTAGGAATGTACTCCTAGAAGTACATAGTATAATTTTAAAAGTTTGTAAATATAACATATCCCTAATATATATATTGAGAAAATATAAAAAATAACAAGTTAGTATACAAAAATAATTTATATAGTACTACTTTAATGGGAAAGTTGGTGAACAAAAATATACTCTGATCCGTACATGGGATTTAAAAAGGGTTTGCATTTGTCATTTAACATGACACAACAAAATTTCCTACACACACAATATTATGTGGGGCCCACACTTTTTGAAGAAAAAGAAAAAAAGAAAATTACGGCACGCAAAACGAATCTCTATAACATTACATAATCACTTTTTCTACAACATAACTCTGGCAAAAAAATTTATTTATTGTAATTTAATTAAATAATTACGCATTTATTGCAGTTTGAGAAGTATTTACAGATCTATTGCACAATGTGACGCCTTTTTTGGGCGTCACATGTGACGCCTCATTTAGGCGTCTCTCACCAAGGGAAGACGCACCAATGGGGCGTCTCTAATGAGGTGTTGACACGTGTCATTTCTCTCTAAAAAAAAATAATAATTTAATCATAAAACTTCTAAAGGCCATAACTTTTGACTCGGGTATCCAATTCAGGTAATTCTTTTTTTGATTCCACATAACTTTTCGATATCTACGTAATGACATCTCATTTGATATATTTTATTTCTCACAAACATAATTTAAATTTGCAAGAATGGTACTATACGAGCGTTTAAACCTAAAAGTCTCTTAGTTCTTTCCGAATCAACACCAAACACACCAAAACCAAGTGTTTGAAAAAAATAGTGTACAATGTTATTGAACAGAAATTCGTATTGTGTATCGTTTGGTTGATTTTTCGTATCTTGAATCATACGGTATCATAAGTTACATCCTTCTGTTTTATGACTTTTTTCTTTAAAGCCATTTAAATTATAGCTTCTGAATGGTTTTCAAAAATAAAATCCTTCTTACTTAGATATTTATAATATTTATTTAATTATTTTTTTATTATACAGATTTTTCAAAAAAATAAACATAAAATAAAATAAAATCCTTCTTACTTAGAGATTTATAATAGCTCATGAGTACTAGATTTGTGATTTTTGAGTTTAAGTCACAAATCAAATCTTTATTTTGTTTTCCTTATTAATGATAATTTTTTATATTTTTTTAAATTTAAATCACAAACCAAAACTTTATTTATTTTTTATATTAAAAATTAAAAAATGTGATTTTTTTAAATTTAAATCACAAACTAAATCTTTATTTTTTTATATTAAATCACAAATCTAGTACTCAGAGGCTTGTGGATTTAAACGCTCTTATAATACCATTCTTGCAAATTTAAATTATGTTTGTGAGAAATAAAATATATCAAATGAGATGTCATTGCGTAGATCTCGAAAAGTTATGTGAAATCAAAAAAAGAATTACCTGAATTGGATACTCGAGTCAAAAGTTATGGCCTTCAGAAGTTTTATGATTAAATTATTTTTTTTTGGAGAGAGAAATGACACGTGTCAACACCTCATGAGAGACGCCCCAATGGGGCGTCTTCCCTTGGTGAGAGATGCCTAAATGAGGCGTCACATGTGACGCCCAAAAAAGACGTCACATTGTGCAATAGATCCGTAATTATTTCCAAAACTGTAATAAATGTGTAATTATTTAATTAAATTGCAATAAATAAATTTTTTTGCCACATAACTCTTATAAAACCCATTTAAAAATGGTGAAATGCGAAATGATGTGAAATTTAAAATCTTAATCTTAGACCCATTCCGGACAAAATTTCCTCCCATAAAAGATACTTGTGATTTATCTAAAAAAAACTTGAAGCAACATCTAACATTATTTATTTATTTTTTGAGTACAGCGTCCAACATAAATTGTACCATTGTTTTCCTTCATAATGCTTAATTGTTCATTTCCAGTTTTCCACCAATCTGACAATTATAATTTATTAAAAAAAATATCCAATAAATTATAACCGTTAAATTTAGATTAGTAAAAATCAATAATTAAAATTTAGTAATGAGAGATTATAAAACTTTTAAGTTATAAATATATCGAGAAGTTATTCCATAGACTAGTCCCATAAAATTTACTAATGCTCCCTCTCACGTGTAAAAGGCAAAAAAGGAAAACAAAAGAAAAAGCAGGGATAAAATAGTCAAAAAAAAGTTTTGATTGTGAGTGAGACCAAGAAAAAATAACATGGGCCGGAATCATATAAAATTTTTCCAAATATATCCTACCTCCTAAAATAATAGAAATCCTACTTCTCCCAACTGTCCGTGGTACCACGTCTAAATGAACAAAGCTTGAAAGCTATTATCATGATCTACAAATTTGATGTTATAGGGGACATGTTCTTTTCAGGTGTATTCGACACTTTAATTTTGTTAAGTAGACATATTTTTCTCAGATTGTATATTATTTTTACTTTTTTTTATGTTGATTCAGCTAATGAGCATGACTGCATGAGATACAATCATCCGGCAAATTTGAAGACACCCTTATTACCGTACAATAAACTGTCTCTCAGCAAAACTTGTTACTGCCAACGAGTTTATAGCTCAATTGACACTAGTCCTAGTCCTAATAAAGATTGAAGTCTGGTGATGTCGAAACTTCAATCCTTCACCCTCACCAGGTGCTTGGAGATGCAACCCAAAAAACAAAAAATTCTACATTACAATAAGTGAAATAGAAAAATCTCTACTTACGGATTATAAGATTAGTCACGTAGATAATCTGATTTACAATCTAAGCTACATGGTATCAGCACATGCTCACCAATATGTTCTTTCATCTCTATTGTAGTCCCTGAAAAGCTGAATGGAATCAACAAGTAACTTTCAGTGCTTTTGAAGGTGTGGAATTACATGAAAGCAGTATTAACTTATTTTAAGCTTACCTCAGCTATTAAGTCCATTAATAACTCCATCATTAATGGATAGTACAAATGCTTCAGACCATTTCAGCTTTTCAGATTCTGGTACCATAGAATCATCTACGAAAGGGCTCCAGAAGCCCCCAGGACCAGATAGAACCCAGCTTACTTTTGTTGGTGGTTCGGATAAGTTATGCATGGAAGCTCTGTTGTCCTTTCTCGAATTCATTTTCTTCGGAGAATCAGACTTCTTAGACTGCTTTAAAAGACATTCAATTGTTGTTACATTGAAAGTGTATAGTTTTGAAACTCACTGTAGATTGAATAGAATGTTTAGTTACCTTTAGAGTGATTTTGTCTTCTTTAGCAACTGAAGAGTGTTTTTTGACCGGTCTTTGGCAACTTTTCACACCACCACGAGCACTTTGTTTTGCAGTGCCAGATTTCACCACTGACTGAAAAGGAAGCATAAATTAGATAGTGATAAAAAAGGCATAAATATGTTGATGCCACCAGATTATTAATTGTCAAACTGAAAGTAATTTTTGGTTTTAGCACCTCGAATGTATCAGCACAAGCATTTTCTCCGGTTAAATATTCCTCAACAGCACTCAAGGAACGGAACCGAGTCCCAGAGTCTATGTAGGTCTGCAGAAAATATAGCATAGATTAAATCATTGAAAGAACTTCAAACCACACAAGTCTACATCCTCTTAATAGTCTTACACCTCCATGACTTATTTTTTTATTTTTTGGTACTGCAAGCAGCTGGAGGGGAGGGGGACAGGTTGCCATAACTTCTTTATACACGTGTTTTTGTGAGTGTGTTTGTGGCTTCAATGAAGAGCAATAAATGTTAGCTTAAAATTGCCAAAGGAAAATACACAAAAAAAAAACTTTGTCCAAAAGAGAACAAAAAAAAAGGAAGTTTGAAATTGTTTGTGTGTTGTATTCAATCATAATTTGAAAAAAAGGAAGTTTGAAATTGTTTGTGTGTTGTATTCAATCATAATTTGAAATTAAGGCAATTCTCATACGCTAATGAGAGGATAGTTTAACCATTTTTGCAGAAAATCATTATTGCCAAATATTAAGCTAATTACATCAAAGACAAGAACTAAAAATAAAAATACAATAGCAGATTTTTTTTCTTTCTTATTAAATGCTTGTCCATTTGACCGTCTTCTAAGAGCAAAATATGCTTCTATTAAGTTCCTATCCCAAACTCAAACCAAACAAATATATAGAAGGATAGAACTTAATAGTGAGGCAGATAAGAGGTGAGAGCCTCCACTATAAATGAGAGTTCTGTGTCTCACACCCAGCCAATACGACACTATCACTCCTACATCAAAACAGTTAGATAGGAAAGAGTGGTTCATTCCCAAGTTATCAAATGTGGACTGCGGCCTGTAACGGCCAGCCCTAAAAAATGCTATAGTATGGGTTGCGATTGCAGAAATAGTGGAATAGATCAATAGAAAAATACTAAAATCCATTAACTGTATTATTCTGTTTTTATCAATAAAAAATCAAAGAATGCTATTTAAACAAGGATAAGGACAGTGACAAATGCATCAACAAGTAACAAAATAATTCTTCAATACAAGTAACACAACAAATTATTAAAAAAAAAAATTTGAAAAGTAGCCAGTAGCCACTGAGTTTTGTTGCCTCTGATTTTAACATTTTATCTTACATTCTCATTATCAATTACTTGTTTTTGCAGTGCCAATATTTCTATGTATCATGTGCTGAATTCAGTGTGTGGAAATTAATTATGTAATTTTGTTTTTATATATTGGTTTTGTCCCCACTAAACATAATCTCTGGGTCTGTCACTATGGAAAATGCAGGACAAATGCAGTTTTATCACAAGTATGTATAGACAAATGCAGTTAATAAATTTGCTCTAAGGAGTCTATAACACAAAGATAATGACAAAGAGAGAGACACAGAGAGCTTCAAAGTTAAAAATACAAAGATAAATAATAAAATATTCTTTTAAAAATAAAAAAACAGAGGCCAGAGAGCTTGCTAGAGATAGAGGGAGGAAAGGGAGAGAAGTGCATGCAAAATGGCCACGAATGCAGCCGCTATTGCGTTTTGGTGCGGTGCAGATTGTTGCGGCGAGACACTACAAAGTGCAACCAGCGCGGCGCACGCCACTATTACCGCACAATTGACTACTATTCCATCCATGTTATGGGGTGAGCAAACCAGGCACAATTGACTACTAAATCCTAGCTGATAAGAGGGGAGAGCTTCCACTATAAGTGGGAGTCCCATTTCTCACACCTAGTCCAAATAAGACCCAAGCTACAGCAGCAGAGTTTTTTATATTGCCTTTATTTATTTGCTTTTGCAGTGACTCATTTTTCATACCAATAATGAATGTAATGTCCATTGTATTCATTAAAACAAAAACTGCACCCTTACCTAAACATGCAGCCAAACAATATATATCTGGTTCAATATTAGTAAACAGCTGAATAATTAAGTGCAATTTTTTTTTTTTTTCTTCCTACAGTCTTATAAGCCTAATTAACACAACTTTTTTCTTAAAAAAAGTTACATATCAGAATATACCCCAGATAATAAAGTGTTTAGTAAAATAGAAATACCCGGTCTGTGACTTCAGCATAGTTATGGGGCTTCTCCTTAATAACCCAATCATTAGGTTGTTTAACGTATGAGGTATTTTCCCTAGAGAGTTACGACCTGCATCTACAGCAGTATTGGCACATAAGTGGAGATGTGGCCTTCATGTTTCAGGAATTGCTATTATTATATCTAAAAATGTAAATATTATAAGTTTTAGATCTCCAGGTTCTGTCTGAGTATTTAGACCGATTTCATTGTCTTTTCAAATATCATGACAGATTCCACTGTATTCCATATGCTACTGATTACCATTCACAAATTTCTTGTTCCGAGTATATACCTGGACAGATCCACTCGCTCTAAGCCCAACGGGCTAAGCCCACTTGGAGGATTTGAAGACTCCTCCATCCGGGTAGGGAAAGTCCAGTTTGGACCGTAACCTACCAACCCGGATTGTGGGGCTGTACCCACGATCCTCCTCCACCCTTTGGAATCTACGATCACTCCCTAACTGAACCGCACTAAGCTCACGATCACCATGATAACTATCTCCCAAGGTCCATATAAATACACCTACAGTACCTAAAGGACACACTTCAGTCACATTGCATTCGTCCATGCTTACCAAGCCATATTCAACCATACACTTTTGCCTTACACCGTTGACATCATTCCAGACCCATATACAACCAATAGCATTCTCCATACACCTGCATTACAACCCCGACATTGTAGTTGTTGTTCACTCAGAACATTTCTGTTAATATTTTACAAAGTAATTTGACTTTCGTGTGACTTTAACAAAGAGACACACTTGCAAATAATATAAACACAAAATCAGAACTCACAGTGTTTTCATTTTCTGATTTCTTTCTCTCGGTAGTAACATAGTCTCTTGTTTCTTGTGTTAGATATCTCTGAACAGATACCAGAGAACGAAACCTCCTTCCAGTGCCTGGCTCATAGTAATACTGAACAAATAAGATTTAAAAAAAAAAAAAAAACATCAAATCGTGTCATAAGGGGAATAATATCCAAATATTATGGTCCTGGTTTTAGAAATGACCACAATGGAATTTCAATAAATAACGTGAGAACAATATGATAATGTACCAAAATATAGGAACAGAGAACCTAAACTAAATGTGCAAACTTTAGAAATAAAGCATGGCAAGAGAAAACAACTAGCTTTCCCATCTTTTGGGTGCAGATTATTACAGGGTTGAATCAAGTGTGACTTTACCTACCCAATACATTAAATTATTAGCACTAAATGGATATATAGGGAAAAATTTAAACTTTTAAACGGTCTTACTCTGTCAAGTGAATTATCACTTCCTCTACAGTGTAATGCCAAATTTTAAAACCTACTACTAACCCTTGAAGAGATTGCATATAACCATGATGTGTCAGACATCAACTTTCAGTGTGACACTCAGAACTCCTATTAAAAATTCTCTTGAGAATGAAAAATTCAATCTTGATACTCAAAATACTTATGGGACGTTTTTTCAAACACATATCAGAAATGGCACCAGCTTCTCTGAGCAGTTCACCAAATCCAATATTTCAATCCCTAGACGTTGAATTAAAAATAATTACTAAGAAGGGATCTGACACCTAACGAAACCCAGCAAGCACAACATTTGACATTATTCAACACTTGCGACTTGCCACCGCCTCCAACAAATTTAGAAACAATATGTGTGGTGCCTGATTATGCAGTGTGCAGACATGCATGCATGAAACAAAAAGAAGAGGAAAATGCACCCTGTCAACGTGGTAGGGGTTAGAGTGACGGGGCTTTGCCTCCACTATCCAATCATCTGGAAGCTTGAAAGGTGAGGATGATGGTGATGGTGACAAGCTTACAATCTGCAATTCATTTTCCATTGAACTGGTCGGATTGTGATTGAGTTGTTTCTCTTTAACACTATCATCGTACTCATCAATGTCTGGGCTCCTAACTTGGATTGGGGTCGGCATTAAGGATTCCCAGGACATGCTAGTGATGTGATGTGTCGTGTTCTTGTTGTTCTTGCCGTGCAAGTATGTTTCTCACTTCGGTTACTACTACAGTCTATACAACAAAGCAAAATATGGTTACTCTTTTTCGGCCCACTGGATCTCAAAAGCCCGTGTAGTGTAAGTAACCCTTCAAATTAAGTGATTTTAAATTTGGTTTCTAAAATTTTATAATATTATCAAATATTCAATAAAAAAATGTATTCATTGAATTGATGAATATGTTAAGGCGAAATGAAATAACCACAAAACTTTGTAACTGAATGCTATTAGAGTAAGTATTTTTTAAAATTATTAAAAGTGGATACATTTCAATTTGTTTTTAAAATTTGAAAATATGAAAAGACAAAAAAAATATAAATTAAAAATTAAAAAATAATAATTATATAATCAAAAAATAAAATTAGTGATTTTCCATGCTATAATTATATTATATACATATAGGATCAAACAAAAATAAACATTCTCATATTAATTTTTCACTTTATAATTTTATATTTATTTATAAACTCTAGTGAAAAAACCAGATAACGTTTGTATACGATTTGACTGATATGCCGATTAATAGTCTATATTTGACTACTTTATTTTTGTGATGTCAGTACTTTGATACTCAAAGAGTTTTCACTTCCGAGTTCCCACGACAAACTCTATGTTGCCAAGGTAAATATTTTTAGGACTTGCAATTTCTCATCTTGCATAAAAAATTCAAGTTTTCTTACAAAGAGAGAAATGAGTGGAGTTCACCTTAAAGAAAAAAATAAAAAATAAAAATAAAAAAATGATTGGCACGGACATCGAAGTGAGAGTGGTAGAAGAGGAGATTTCTCATGTAATATGAAAAGTCTTTTTCTCATATTTTTAATAGGGTTTTATTAATCGCATGTTAAAGGAGATAGTTATCTCATGTCATAGAGACAAATTAATGGGCTCCTCCACCTGAAAAAATAAAATAAAATAAAAAAGTAACACAGTTATCAAAGAATGTGTAGAAGAGAAAACGTATGTCATGTGACATAAGAATAGTTTTTTCTTTTTTAATATTATGAATGCATCAGACTCGATACATTCATTTATTAAATAATAAATGGAAAAGTTTAAAGAGATATAAAAAATAATATAAAAAAATAAGGGTTAAAATAAAAAAAAATTATCCATTTTAGTAAATGAATATACCAAAAGTTTGCTCGTTGACAAGATAGGTTCGAATGGGAGAAAAATTTTAATATACCAAAACCACCGAATTCACCGAAACTCAATAATTCTTTTATTGAAAAGGAAAATATTTTAGAACTTCAAAAAAATATTTTTTAAAAATTTGTAAAAAAAAAAATTACATTTTAGTAAAAAGACCACCGAATTTTGGTGGTCCGGTTGTAACAAAACTTTTCTCCCCGAACAGCTGGGAAGAAAACTTTACAGGTACTTTCTTCATTGATGTATTCACATCAGCCATGATAAGATTAGAGGTTATGATTATAGCAGGCAAAACGGGCTCAGCTCGGCTGGCCAACTCGTTCAATTTGTTAAACGAGACGGGATACGCTGAGTTTTTCAACTCAACTCAAAAATGGGGCGGGACGGGGCGAACTCATTTTTTTGCGGGTTGATGGCGGGCATAGGCGGGCCGAGGCGGATCAGTGTAAAATAGACTCGGGCTGGCGGACCAACCCGCCCAATCCGCCAAACGGGGCAGGACGAGCTAAGTTTTTGAGTCCACTTTCAAAAGCGGAACGAGGCGGGCTGACTTAATTTTTGGCGGGTTGATGGCGGGGTGGGGCGGGGTAGGGCGGGGCGCCCACTTTGCCATCTCTAGTTATGATGCACCGATACTGACATGAGATATGGGATATGACACGATATGCCGATACGTTAATTTTAAAAAATGTCATATTTTGACACGTTGGGACACGTTTGATATTAAATAATATTTTTAATATATATAATATAATTTATATTTGATGCATATAACAACATATAATAAGTCATGTAACCAATCAAATGTTCAAATTTCATAACATAAATATAAACAAAAATAATTTTTCGTATCTTATTAATTTTTCATGTAAATTTCATAACATAAAAAAATTGATTTATAAATTATTTTTTTTATTTTTAGTTAATAAAAAAACATGTCGGATGCGTGTCAAAACGTTGATCGCGTGTCGGAAAAAATTAACAGCGTGTCAAAAAAATGTGTTAAAATGTGTCAGAACGTTGACCGTGAGTCCCAAAATATTGACAGCATATCAGAACGTGTCGGTGTCCGACACACACAATTTGAAAAAAATTTGTTGACTAGAGGGTCTGGTCTACACAAGTTATGGTGCGAATGGTAAATTAAAAAAAGATCTAAATGTCATAACTTTACAGGGCTTTATTAATCAACTTTATATAGCAATGGAAAAAAAAAATTGTGAATTTTTTAGATAGCTATATTATGCTCTAACTAATAAAGGGGATATTTACAAAAAAAAAAATAAATAAAGGGGAAAAGATTTGTTATGTTCGAGGAAGGAAATTTTTTTCTTATACTAACAAAAAAAACGTGGCTCCCATGAAAGTTTAAAAACAAAAAACAAAAAATTGTTGACAAGATGTTTTCTGTCTCTGCATAACGGGATTGATTTGTCCGGTAACAGGAGGAATATAATCTCCAATGATAAATTGATAGGAATAGGTTATTTTATCTTTTTTTTTATACTTACCTTATTTATTACTCTCCAGTAACATTATATTAGAATCTCGATAAGGACAAAAAAAAAACTCAAGAGAGAAGAGAAATAATACAAATTAGTTGAAATTATAATCTAATGATATTGAAGAATGATAAATAAGTTAGATATGAGAAAAAAAGTATGTAGAATAATCTATCCCAAATTGATATTATTCTATCGTATGGATAAAACTGTCTAATATGATCATTGATATGTTTATGTTGAAGTTGAGTGTCCTCTCTCAGGAATCTATAGGGGAAATACCTGAAAGATCATCATATTATTGTGCACTATAGTAGATGGCATAGCCAAGGCTTGGGATTGTGCACAGTGACAGCTAATAAAGAGAGAGTTTAGAATATGTGTATCTGGTTAGCTTAACTCTTTATTTATAGATGGGTTACTTGTCAATAGTGGACTTATGGGTCTCTTAGAAATATTGAGGGTTCAGTTCTTGATTCATTGCTGTCGCACTAGAATTAATGCAATTAAGAAATATTTTCTTAATTTTTCTCTTAACTGTTAGTCTTTCTTGGACCTTCTAGAATATGGGTCATTACATCAGGTTCATAACAGTTACCTATCACCCTCATGTCTGGGTAATGTTTGATCATGTGGATCGAGATGTGTCCAATAAATGATGATTTGTATGTTTCTGTTGGATCTGGATACTCTCTCTTAAGCATCTATGGGAAAGATAATTTAGAGATCAGCAGATCACTATGCACTATAGTAGACAGCATAACCAAGACTTGAGGTGTGTGCACACTGACAACTAATAGAGTGAGGGTTTAGAATATGTGTACCTGGTTGGCTTAACCTTTTATTTATGGATGAGTTTGCCTATCAGAGTTAATTTTTGGGTCGCTTAAAAATATTTTGGGTCCAGTTCATGATTCACTGTTGTGACACTGAAATTAGTATAATTAAAAAAAATTCCTTAATTTTCCTCTTAACTATTAGTCCTTCTTAAACCTTTTAGAATATGTACTTTTACGCCAAGTCCATAATAGATATATTAAATTTTTATTAATTTAATTCACATAAATGATATAAAATAAGTCCATAAAAATTGAAAATAAATTGAAAGCATGACATCGAATCAAGGTAAAATAATCTGAAATCTTATAATTAAAAGGGAGTCCCACTTGGCATCTTTCAACAATAAAAATAGAAGAAGATTATATTTATAAATTTTTTATTTATAAATTCTTATAAATTACATTATGTACTATCCAATAAAAATAAAGGGAATTAGTTTTTTTCTCTTATTGCACATTCATCAAAAATCATACCAAGTTTTTTTTTTTTTAAAGATGGATCCCACATGAATTTGTCTCTACATGAGACCATACTTTTATCTTGTAACAAGAAGAAAAAAAATTGCCCTAAAAATAAAACGATCAGATACAACTCATAGAGACAAAATGGATAATACCTCACCAATAATAAATCACGGACGACCAGATTCAAGCTTCTTCCTTCAATGAATGAATGGATCCTAGAAATTACGAATATGCGCTGTTAGATCTAAATTTTTTATAATTATTATTATAGAATTGAAAATGTTGGATAGCAGTTTTAAAAATGTGTAATTTTTATCATTTTTAAAATTAAGAATAAGCATTCTTTTGTATAACGTGGATAAAATTTTGTAATATAATACAGTTTATTCAAAATTTAGATCCTTATTCTGTCTTTAAATTTTTTTATTCAATTCTTATATTATTTTAGAAATATTAAAATAGATTTTTATATTATACAGTCATATTTTTTGGCAGATAAAAAACTTAAAAATATGTAACAAAAAAAAAAGGAAAAAAAAAACCTTAAAAATGAAAACGACCCTAGCTAAGAACCAGGAAAGGGTAATTCTAAGTAATAATGCATGATTGGTCTAATGGGTTGGAATTTATTAACAACCTGTTTGGATGAGCTTTTTTTCTCCTAAAGTTGTTTTTTTTTTAAGAAAAAAAAGCACTTCTTACTATAAGTTCGTTTGGATGTCTGATTTTAAAAAAAACAGAAGTTACAAAAAAAGTCAAAAACATATTTTTTTAGAAGTTAAAAATTTTAACTTCTAAAAAAACAGAAGTCAAAAGCCAATTTTTTTTCAAAAAGTAAATATTTTTATAAAAATATAAATAGCCTTAACTTTTATAAAAAGCACTTCTAAAATAAGGAAGAAATAAAAGTTACTTTTTGTAAAAGGTGAAGCAAACGAGCTCTAAGAGTGGTATGGAAATGAGAAAGGAGTTCACACACACAGGTGACGGCGCAACGCATACGTTATGCA